CATGTTTGGGCCCCCCCCCCCCGCCCCACCACAGATGACATCACTGGAGTCCGGTCCTCCCAGGCCCAGAGGAACTGGTCCAGAATCGACTACCTGAACCGGTGTTTGACACTGATTATAACACAGACGTGGACATGTATTAGTTATGTCATGCAAAACAAAGGCAACCAAGAGCATTTACTGCAAATTAGCCACAGGGTTGACTGGTATTTGCTTAAGAAGGACCAAATGTGTACTGCAGCAGTATTGAATTGATGGGAGTTCCTGTAAACAAACATTTTTGAACAACTGTTTAAAATCCTCTTGGGCTCAGATGATTTCTGTACTGCAAAGAATAAAGACACAATACGATTTTTGTCAAAAACAAATGCTGTTTTATTGCCTTCTTTCCTGGAGTATATTTATTTTAATTGAGTCAAAACTATGGTCAGTTTTGATTTGAACGTAATACATGACCAATCAGAGCAACTGCAGGTTGACACGTGTGTGTGCTTCAAGCCTGTGGTATTTTATTTAGAAAATGTATATTTGTAAAGGTTTTTAGTAACTGCGGTTCCATTTCTTCTCTAAAAAACATTTAAATATAAACAATGTTTAAAAATTTAAATCCACACATTGGGAGAGTGTGTGTGTAAAAGGGATCTGCTGTGAAGAGCCTCATTTTACGTCACTTCTGCCTTTATAGTGTGGTGCTCTGTTGTCATGCTCCGACAGCGCCCTCTGCTGTGGGACCTGTGTAAGGGCAGTCCAACATGGAGGTGACGGCGGCTCGCCGCTCGTTTCTGTGCGACATTGGTGAGTCAGCAAACCGTCACCGTCGGCTTTCTGCTCACCTATAAATGCATGTAACCGTGTAAAATCATATTAAATATGTACATAAATATATAGATGTTTAAAATATATGTTTATTAGAAAAGTGCAGTAAACATGAATATATATGTTTAGATAGATATGTTTAGAATATAGATGTTTAGAATATATGTTTATTAGAAAAGTGCAGTATTTGTACAGCCGCTGTCGTGACAGAAACTTAGAGGATTTTAATGACAGATTATAAAATACTTTTCATGTATTTCACAGCAGCATTTAGAGCCAGCTTGACTTTTCAGAATTTCTGAACAGACTGACGTCACTGTGGTGATTTTAAGTTTACTTTTATACAATAGAAAAATAATTTCAGCTAAATTTTAACATGTAATTGTATTTAAATTTATTAATCACTCAATAATATCATAAGTCCCATTAATCCTAAAAGGTCAGCATTCTACTTTTGTGCTGAATGGCTCGGGTCAGTGTCAGGAGTTTTTATTTAGGATGACCCAAGTGTCTCAGGTGATTCTTAAAAGTTCGGTTCCTTTAACTCTAATAACGTTCTCTTCCAGCGTGCACGAAAGTTCCTTCATTACATTATACTCACACTGTGTATTATTTATTCACACACGTGTATTTATGAGTGTGCTCTACATGTGCTCAACCTAAGGTATGTGGGCAGATCGGACGGTGCTGCACGAGGCGGCGTCCCAGGGCAGAGCACTGCAGCTGAAGGAGCTGATAGAGAGCGGAGCCTCGGTCAACACGGTGACAGTGGACAACATCACTCCGCTGCACGAGGCCTGCATCAAAGGTCACCAGATATGTGCCAGGATGCTGCTGGAGGCAGGAGCACAGGTGAGATGAACCTTCAGCACCTGGTACCAGGACCAGGACCAGGACCAGGACAAAGTTTAAAAAGGATTTTGCCTCAGGGTTTTTGTTACTCTTTTAGGATGAAAGAAGATTAAATAAAACATACATGACGTCGCCACCTGCTGGTTTCAGTTGTTCTGGTTCCGTACGGTTGATGTGAAGGACTTTTGTGGTGTGCGTTTCTCCAGGTGGACGTTCGGACCGTCCACGGCAGCACCCCCCTCTGTCATGCCTGTGCCTCGGGCAGCCTGGAGTGTGCTGAGCTGCTGCTGCAGCACGGTGCCACGGTGAACCCCTCCCTCACGGCTCTGACCGCCTCACCTCTCCACGAGGCCTGCATACAGGGTAAGACGTGTGTGGATCTCAGCCGTGTGGGAAAACGTCCATACGCCGATGTATATTTAGTTTATATTTAGGTACGTGATGCTGTATCGATAATCTATCGTATTGTAGTGATTTATTTATTGACAGTTAACATGTAAAATATTCATGGCGTTGGTTCATTTTTGTGTTGCATTTAAACATCCGACCACTAGTTGACTGTACATGGACTTCTTCTTTCTGTTTTCCTACAAATAATCTGCTAAAAAAAACCCATATATATATACGTCAGGCCTGTTGTATCGCAGTATATCGCAACGTATCTTATTGTTGCCTCCGTATCGCAATACTTATCGTATCGCCAGATTCTTGCCGATACAACAGCCCTACTTGGGATTTTACTCCCTCCAAAGGGAACGTCAGTCTGGTGAAGCTGATGATCAGCAGTGGTGCTAAACTGGAGGCTTACGACATCTACTTCGGTCCGCCCCTCCACATCGCCTGTGCCAAAGGACACACGGACTGTGTCAGAGTGCTGCTCAGAGCAGGTACAGTCCACACTCTGGGATCCTGGAGAAATATTAAGACCACAAATGACATCGTTTACACTTCCTGCAGGTGCCAACGTGAACTCCGTCAAGTTCCACGAGACGGCGCTGCACCACGCGGCGCGCGTCCACGCCGAGGACTTGATCAGGCTGCTGGTGGACTTTGGGGCAAACGTGTACGCCCGTGACAACATGGGGAGCAAACCTGTGGACTACACCCAGGCGTCATCCCCCTCCCACCACTGTCTCAGGTCCTACCAAAGTAAAAGACCGAGTCCGAGTCCAAATGACAAACCAGAGGCTGTGTCGGGGTGTGACTCTGTCGTAGCTTCCTCTCCCTCTCTCTCTCTCTCTCTCTCTCCAGGTAACCCTCTGAGCCTGCAGCAGCTGTGCAGGATCACTGTGAGGAGGTCGTTGGGCACCAGTGCCTCAGAGGTCATCGGTCAAATGGACATTTCCCCTCGTATTCGCAGCTACCTCCAACACTGTGACCGTTCCGTGTCACTGCAGAGGGAAACATGAGTGGGATTCAAAACGACTGCACAAGAAGCTGCTATTTGATTGGTTGCAATGTTTTCAATTGTTTATAATGGTTTGATGAAGCTTGGACTGATTTCACATAAAATAGGTTTAAACTGGGTTTTTAAAGTACAGGTTTTTCTTATGTGAATCAAAAATACACTTTTTTTTCAACCCCAAAAAACCCACATAAACATTATCACAAAGACATGACAACAACAACAACAAAAACACACATTGACATTGTAATGATCATTTGACTTTTTAAATTTAAAAATGAACTAAATCTGTGTCAATCTTCTATGAAGACGACACAGATTGATCCAGGAAAAACAGGCCTTTACAAACTGTCAAACTCCGTCATTTACGCTGTAATAGTTTCGTTTTACTGAAGAAAAAATGATGTATTTTCTGGCTGCTCATCTGTGGTGGCGGTATCTGAGGGCTTTTATTCTGAAGGGAAAGTCAGTTCCGTTTCCGACTGCTTTGTGCTGCTGAGTTTCAGCACTACGAATGAGGGCAGTTCACGTTCCGCTGCAGACATAAACTACATTTTGGCGGTTTGTTTTGTCGTTTCCGCTTTGCCCGGACTTCCCCGGACACGACCCCCGCATTTTTCCTCGTTTCGCGCCTTCCCCGTTGTTTGGGCGCCCCCTGTGGGAGGTTTGCCTCAAACTTTGAAACCCGCTGTTCAAAACATTTAAAACGTTAGTCAGATTGATAAACAAATGTGATTCTTGGTTGTGGCATTTCCTCTCTTTTCTCGCCGTTTGTTTATATGAAGTTAAGTTTTAATGGTAGGAATTTGGAAACAGGAAATTACCCTTATATTTTTTTATAAACAATAAAAGGGGCACAGACAAAATGCCAGTTCTCTGTCTGTTATATTCCAGGTGTTATACTTTAGAAAAAAAGGACTGGATGATTTACCTAAACCAACAAAATGGCAAAATACGGGTGATGTCAAAATGGTTTTCAGTCAGATTCATTTTCATGGCGCAGGTGTGAGAAAGACTTTTGATATATTTAATTTTTTATTTGTATAAAGTGCATTCTGATAAGAAGGTGGACATTGATCGCGGCCTGTAATTTGGTGTTTGTAAAAACACCAGGCTGGTGGAAACCCCCCTCCTCCCTCCACACCCTCAGAGTCTGGGTTTAGTTTCTGTTTTGTCCTTATTTTTTTAATGAAGACAGAGAGAGACCAGCCCAGAAATATGTCTCCAGCCTCCATTAACCACCTCCCTCCTCGTCACCGCCCTCTCTGTTTGTGAACACAGTATGATTTGCTGATTCATTTTTATTTCCTGTATTATTTGGACCTTCTTTAAAATAATTCACATGTTTTAGAACAAACATTTCTTACTGTTTTGAACTAAATTATAACACATACACATATACTGTATATATATACACACACACACTATATATATATATAGTGTGTGTGTATATATTTATATGTATATATATATATATATATAGTGTGTGTGTATACTGTATATGTTGTAAATACAAATTAAAGATTTAAATGATAAAACAGTAACTAGTTCTTCAGGCCACACCATATGAACAAGAATATTGTTTTCTTTCAAATTTGAAAATGTATCTTGTTTTCTCGTTGTTTCCATTCTGTTTTTGTAAATGAAAAAGAAAACGGGTAAAAAGTACAAATATAATGGAGTAGATTATACAAAGTCACAAATAATGGCGCGGTTGAAGGAAACACACACACGAACAACACAAGGCTAAAGGCTAAAACCACAGAACTCCCGGTCTTCAGCGGGTCCCAAACCTGGTTCACAAGGCTCTACCTAGTAACGTGGTGATGGTAATTAATGATTGGCTGCTGAAATTCGAGGTAGGCGTGGGCCAATGGGAGGTCGGTTTACTTTATGAGTTTGTCTCTAACCATTTTCATTTCAGTTTTGCTCGGTGTTAATCGAGGACAGGTTCATCTTCTTCACATACAATCTGAGAAGTGTATTTTACAACGAACTGTTGATAGAAAGACTGCGTCGAACATGAAGCTGTTTCTATGTCTAACAGCACTGGCGGCTCTTTACTGCGCAGTGGAGTCCAGATACAGTGAGTATGAGTTTGTTTTGTTCACCTTTGACAAACACTTTAACCGTTTTTACTTTAAAAAAAATACCAGGGGACGGGCGGTGACGATAGAGTCACCAGAACATTATTCAATGCTCCAAATAAAACACAACAAAATGATTGCGGTGTATTTATCTATGTTTACTCACTTTATTCGACCAGAGTTGTAAAAGATCCAGTTTAAAATGTAATTTTAATAGATCGAACACAATCGAGCATGTTTTTGTTTTTTTGTGTGTTGTTTCATGTTTGTCTTAATAATCTCAAATTATTGGAAACACTTTCGATTTACAGTAAATCCTCCTGGCAACAGCGACCTCTGCTGTCGTCGCTTGGGCATGAATGCAAAGGCAAAAACACGTACTATAGAGCAGTGAAGTGTATCAAAGTATATGTGTATAATAATGTATTAAAGTTATAATTTTGGTGACACCATGTGGAAGAATATAAAATAAATTTTAATTTAAAAAAAATAAGGCACTACTGCAGCACTGATATAAATGATAATCTGATAATAAGGTTTTCCTGTGATTGCAAGTATTTAAACCACATTCAAATAGGCTTAGAGAATAATAATGATATTGATATTATTATTAGTATAAGTATTATAATTATTATCATTTTTATCATTATTTAGACCTAGAAAATGTTTAGCCTCAGTGAAACGTTGTCAGCTGCTTATTTGATAAAGTCAGTTTTATCAAATGTCTGAAACTGTTTTCTGGCTCATTTAAATTATTTTACTTTTCTGTGTTTTGTAAATCTTGTATTTGTCTTGCTGCAATCTATTTGTCTTGCTTTCGTTTTACGTTACAGTTTCAGTTTTGTGCCAGTTGTGTTTGTTTGTTTGTTTTTTCGCCTACGACTTCACCTGTTCCTTATCCATTGTACAGCTTTTGATCCATGTTTATTAATTGTTAATTTCTTAATAGGTTTTAGTCATTGAAGTTAAAGTGATTTCATGTCCTTTAGAATGACTTTATTTTTCCTGTTGTGTTGCCTTCAGGTCCTCCCAAAGTGCAGGTGTACAGCACCAAACCAGGACTGTTTGGAGATGATAACATTCTGCTATGCCACGTGAGCGACTTCCACCCTCCCGACATCACCATCCAGCTGATGCGGAACGCAGCCGAGCTGACCCCCGCCAATCAGACAGACCTGGCCTTCAAACAGAACTGGCACTTCCACCTGACCAGGAGTGTGAAGTTCAAGCCCCAGGAAGGGGAGGAGTACAGATGCGTAGTCAAGCATGGCAGCGATTCGGCCAAATCCTATTTGTGGGGTAAGTGTTTGGAAGGACGCAGTTAATCAGAGTAAAGTAACAGTAAGATAAACGCAGCGAAAAAATCATGAGCAGTATGAAAAATATATCCAAAAAAAGAAGGTAGTATCGGATATTGAAAGTATATACAGCAGCTTAAACTTATATAACTCCAAAAATATAAAACAGTTAAAACAATATATAATACACGACGTCCAGAGAAGATTTGTCCGACTTTTCCTTTTCCTGGTGATTCATGGTTCAGATGACATCACTGTACTTGAAGATACCAAGTATCAAACTGCTATAGATGTTGTAGTACATGAACGCCTCATCCAGTATTTTATCTTACTGTTAGTAAAACAACTGTTATAAAACGTTTTGGTTTTTTTTTGTCTTTTACAGATCCAAACGTGTAGGATGTGTGAAGAGCTCCACCTGGTGATATAACTACGCTACTGCACCACCATTGAATATCACAAAATGGAGTCTCAAAAAAGCCAGGAGGGCTTCATTTAAATCAACTTTCATCAATCAACATGATAACAGACTCATCTGATTTTTTTTTTTTTGTTTTGTTTTGTTCTTACTGTACTTTTCCACCTAAACAGCAATATCAGTACAACATTCTGGGGAAGGTTAATACACAGAGTAACAGTCTCTGTGTTGGGCAGTTCAAATCAGCTTTTCATATTTGATCGTCTTTGTGAGCTGCCTTTAAGGTTTTTGACATTTGGTTCCTACATAAATTGAGCTTTAAATTTGCTAATTTTGCTGAACTTACCAACACAGTGCTCTAGGGGCAGTGGTGACCTGGGGGTTAAGGAAGCAGGCTTGTGTCTATGCTGGTGTGCACAGAGCAGAGTGTGGTCGAGGGCAGTGCTTCAATTATTTATGTATGTTGTTGACTTTCCTTTTAAAATAAATGTCAAAAAATTAAGTGTTTATTCTTCCCAATAAATGACTTAAATCCAGTCAGAATGTGTCTGTCTTTGTTTGTTTTAACAGTGAACTCATTAAGATTTAAGTGTCAATGTAAAAACCTTAAGGTAATCCAAAATGAACAATAAGAAAACATGGAGGAAAGTAAACAGTCTGTTAAGTGTTTTTTAAGGTGGTTTGACATCAACTCCTTCACTCTGTCGACTTTTCTATTTTACACCAAACACCTGTTTATTAAACTTGTGGAGTAAAAAAAAGCAGTTTTCGTCGGTTGGTGCTTTATTTAAGGAATAATTTCTATTGAAACGAATAAAAAACAATAAAGCTCAGTTTTATCCTCGGAGGATGTCGATGAAAACAAGTTTTCAAATCTCAGCCCCGTACGGAGGACGGAGGTTTGCAAACTGCGCCACAAATGTGCAAACCTGTCTGTGTGTATTCGACCTAGCAACAATTTACGCGCGTTTATTATTGGTGGAAAAAACAAAGACGTCATATCCGCCGGATTTGTCAGTTTAAGTGAAAGCTGAAAAACAAACAAAAGTGTTGTTTGCTTTAATTTATTTATGGATATAAAAGTCATTCTACAGCTGTAAAGGTAAGTCGATAAAGAATATTTAGAATATTTAACAATTTACTACTGTGTAAACCATTTCATATATTTTGACGGTTTTAGAGCTGCCCAGGTTTTCATAGTGTCACAACAAAGGGAATGTTTTTTAAAGTAAAAATTATCGTAACGGAACAGTTACAAAAGTTTTTTAAATAAATAAATATGAATAAATACAGACAGCAGCACTTCAAGCGTTGTCACTGCGCGTTCATGGAGCTCAGAGGGAGCGCGCGTGCACGCAGACTTGTAGGGCGCATGTGTGGGGCTTGTTATTTCCTTGTGTTCGAATCGCTTTAGTTTCGATTTAGACCCGAGTGAATTTTGTGTCGTTTTTGTTGTATAACAAATATATCAGACACACATTTTCTTCAGTAAAGTTCACCGGAAGGACAAGACATGAAGGGAGTTGTTTGGCTCGTGTTCGTCGTTCTGCCGTGTACTTTAAAGGCCGAAGACAGTAAGTGAAATCATTGTGTGTTATGACGTCGTCACAGTCGAGTTCGACATTTCACAAATACATTACACATCAACCACGAACGTTCACGTTCAATCCTTGTTTGCGTTGATTTTAGTTCAGTGGTGCAAAAAAATAGAATTAACCAACAGACGTCAGTTAGATTAGTTTCACTGTTGAGCCGTTGACGTCAATCTAGATAAAGAAATAATAAAGAAAAACCTATCGATGAATGTATGTCTTTATGTTGTTGTATCGATTCATCTGATTATAACTGATACTTAATTTGGCTGGGATTTTTTTCTTTCTTCAAAACATGTTTTGAAGAAGTTTGACAAGCTATTGTTGTTCCGCCACCTGCTGGACATCAAAATGTCTCGTTTCGCTACTACTGTAAATGCATGGAAAACACAACATATCCAAAATGAAATGCTGTAAATGCATGGAAAACACAACATATAAAGATGGAAATTAAAGGTTTTTTAGATGAGCCCTGACAGCAGACCGTGAACCACCTGTTTGTGTTTTTTCCACAGATGTAACAGTGGCACCTATGGTACAGCTGTACAGCAAGACCATCGGACTGTACAACAAGCCCAACACCCTGATCTGTCACGCGAAAGACTTCTACCCTCCGGAGATTTCCATCGAGTTGCTCAAGAACAACGAGGTGATATCTGAAGCCAAACATTCAGAGATGGCGTTCACAGATAAGTGGTTGTACCGCGTCACCAGGTTCACGGACTTCACCCCAAAGAGTGGAGACAAATACAGCTGCAGAGTGACCCACCAGGGACGGGAGAGGACGCACAAATGGGGTGAGGGTCTCTCTCTAGTTCTTTTCTCACATAAATATATATTTTCAGTTGGGATCACAGTACACAGGTTCCTGCGTCTGTGTATTGTTGTGTATCATTGTGTATTATTGTGTATTACTGTTTCCGAGGTGTGTGCAGCACAGATTATCTCCAGAGAACCGTTGGACTAATGTCTTGACTTTGTTGTGTGAAGTTCATCCTCAGATTATAATCCATGGTTTACGGTGTTTTTACCTCTCAACAGAACCAGATGTTTAAACCCAAGGCGGAGCCCAGGTCCAGGTCCAGGCCGAGGTCCAGGTCCAGCTCAGACGACGTCCTCGTCTCTTCTGTGATCTTCCCTGGATTTAATGAACCGTCAACGTGTAAAAACATTTTAAAACACCCTTTAATTCAGCTGTGTTTTTTGGCTCCAGTTAGAGTAACTTTTTAAAGTAGATGCGAACAGAAGGTTGGGGTTTTTAATTCAAAGTATTTCAGATGATAAATGTCCTGAATAATGATCACAGCATTTGATTCAATGTACAGTAAGGAAAGCAAGTACTTTGCTGTCCACACTGAATGCCAAAGAAATCAAGAAATAAAAATAACAGAATATACACAGGAATAAAATAACAAAATATACACATGAATCAACAGAAGGCTTTTCAGTATTTACAGTGTGCAGTAGTTAATACTTGTGGATGTGCAAATTTGGCATGTGCAAAAGTAATGTTATTGTCCATTCCCGTTAAGTAGTTTGATGGCAGAAGGATGTTTTACATTTCAGACTCCTGTATCTCCGTCCTGAAGGGAGGAGAGTGAACAGTCCATGTTAGGGGTGGGTTGTTGTCCTAGCACCATGTCTCCAGTGTGTCCACCTCCCTCCTGTAAGCTGCTTCGTCACTGCCAGTGATACGACCTATCACTGCAGTGTCGTCTGCAAATTTCAGGATGATGTTGTCCTTGTGGGAGCCCACACAGTCGTGGGTGAACAGGGTGTAGAGGATGGGACTGAGGACACACCCCTGAGGTGTGCCGATGTTGGTGATGATGCTGGCTGAAGTCCTGTTTCCTATCCTGACAGACTGAGGCCTGCCAGTCAGAAAGTCTTACTGTTTCCGAGGTGTGTGCAGCACAGATTATCTCCAGAGAACCGTTGGACTAATGTCTTGACTTTGTTGTGTGAAGTTCATCCTCAGATTATAATCCATGGTTTACGGTGTTTTTACCTCTCAACAGAACCAGATGTTTAAACCCAAGGCGGAGCCCAGGTCCAGGTCCAGGCCGAGGTCCAGGTCCAGCTCAGACGACGTCCTCGTCTCTTCTGTGATCTTCCCTGGATTTAATGAACCGTCAACGTGTAAAAACATTTTAAAACACCCTTTAATTCAGCTGTGTTTTTTGGCTCCAGTTAGAGTAACTTTTTAAAGTAGATGCGAACAGAAGGTTGGGGTTTTTAATTCAAAGTATTTCAGATGATAAATGTCCTGAATAATGATCACAGCATTTGATTCAATGTACAGTAAGGAAAGCAAGTACTTTGCTGTCCACACTGAATGCCAAAGAAATCAAGAAATAAAAATAACAGAATATACACAGGAATAAAATAACAAAATATACACATGAATCAACAGAAGGCTTTTCAGTATTTACAGTGTGCAGTAGTTAATACTTGTGGATGTGCAAATTTGGCATGTGCAAAAGTAATGTTATTGTCCATTCCCGTTAAGTAGTTTGATGGCAGAAGGATGTTTTACATTTCAGACTCCTGTATCTCCGTCCTGAAGGGAGGAGAGTGAACAGTCCATGTTAGGGGTGGGTTGTTGTCCTAGCACCATGTCTCCAGTGTGTCCACCTCCCTCCTGTAAGCTGCTGCGTCACTGCCAGTGATACGACCTATCACTGCAGTGTCGTCTGCAAATTTCAGGATGATGTTGTCCTTGTGGGAGGCCACACAGTCGTGGGTGAACAGGGTGTAGAGGATGGGACTGAGGACACACCCCTGAGGGGGGCCGATGTTGGTGATGATGCTGGCTGAAGTCCTGGTTCCTATCCTGACAGACTGAGGCCTGCCAGTCAGAAAGTCAGACAGTTTGTGTGGGAGTTTGTGAACCTGCATCAAACACCCATGAATGATCAGTTTTTATTGTTGGTGCGAAACATGTTTTTAATTTAATCACAAAAATGTTTGTCCTTATTCTGAAGGTAATTAAAATAAAATGAAAGTCTGAACTTAAAGGAACAACAGGAGGCGCCGTGTGAGGCGGTGCATTTGTCTGACAGACGCAGAGTTGTGGATCGATTAGTCATTTATATAGTAGGTCTCCCTGTTAGCAGCACAGCTCTCTGTAGGTGGATGAAAAGAAAAACTGTAGTGTAAAGTGCTTTGAATGGTCATCAGGACTGGATTATTTTTCCCAGGTCATAAGACAAGCTAACAGGCTAACAGAACTTAGAGCCCAATATTAAGACAAAACTGTTTATCTGACAACTATAAATTTTGTGTTTTTTGTTTTCGTGGCTTCTGTGAGAAATTTTGTGTATAAACATTTATTATTTTTAATTGCAGGTAATGAAAATAGCATGTACCCACACTTTCAAGATTGACAAGGCTGTACGAGACCTGGGTTACTGCCCGAAAACCTACCACCTTTCAGACACAGTGGAAGAATACCTGAAAACCCGACCACCTCGATCCAAATTATCTGTTTTTAACCTGACTCAGCTGCCCTTACATTTCCTCCTGATGATGATAATGATGGCCCTGGGCCTGGTTCTACTGATGATGACCAGTTTATTCTTCCAGAGCTAGAGTCCAGGCAAAAATGGAGAGATTTTGGCTGTAAGGATGTCACATGGCAGTTAATTGTATAAATCATTGTTATAATTGCTTTGGTGATTTATTTCTGTTCACAAAGTTAAATAAGATAAGCAAATAATAAATTCTACCTTTTTCGAATTGTACAGTTTTAAAATTGAAAGTTGTAACTTAAACCTATTTGATTAAAATACACATGCAACATATTGTATCAGTTGATTTCAGTGAAGGCAGATACCTAACTGTATTATTTCAAAACTGATTGGTTGAACTCAAAATTATTGTTTTGTGGCTGATCTTTTTTTTCCTTTTAACATTGGTATGGTTATTTTGTACACTTTTAGAAATAAAATAATGTTCATGCTTTTACCAAACAAACGATTATTTGCCTGTGGCGCTGAAATCCTAAATGAGTAAACAGAGACTGTCTTCGTTCATGCACACATTTGACCACAGAGAGGCGCTCTTGCACTGCCGAGGCTTTGTCTGAAAAGTTTGCACTAGGAGTAAAGTATATTTTGTGTATTGGGATCGTGGTGGTGAAAAATAAAACGTCTGTGTAAATAATTGTGACGGTTTTTGTGAGAGGAGAACACCTGGTAAGAAAACATAAACATCTTGGCAGCGGTGGGATTCGAACCCACGCCATCGAAATGACTGGAGCCTAAATCCAGCGCCTTAGACCACTCGGCCACGCTACCACGTGGGATTGTATTTGTCACGTGACTACAAATTATTTTATGAAAACACATTTACTACTTCACTAAGTCTTGTGTTTTCTTTGCTTCATCTAAAACTATATGATTACACGTGACATGTAAAAGGCACATAAATGTCGGCGTCATCTGAGCTCAAAGTGTGGAAAATATATGTCACTTCACTTTCAGGTTCAAACCTGCCCCTCCTCCCCCTTCACCCCCCTGTCTTTGCCCCAGTTCTGCCGGTGCAGGGTAATAAAAGCATGTGATCGCGGTGTGAGATTGAACTCAGGTGTTTCTGTGCAGGAGGGAAAGTTGTCCTTGTCCTGGGAGCAGCGTCTCATCATCATCAAGGGCGTGGCCAAGGCGTTCATCACCTCCACACCGCCCCGTCCTGCTCCGTCATCTGTGGCAACATCTCCAGGTCTGAGTCAGTGCTGGACCACGGTCCGTCTCTCCTCGTCTGGAGTTCCGGCTGTGGGACAAACGGAATGTTTTTTTTAAAGTAAAAATGATCGTAACGGAACAGTTACAAACGTTTTTTTATAAATAAATATTAATAAATACAGACAGCAGCACTTCAAGCGTTGTCACTGCGCGTTCATGGAGCTCAGCGGGAGCGCGCGTGCACGCAGACTTGTGGGGCTTGTTATTTCCTTGTGTTCGAATCGCTTTAGTTTCGATTTAGACCCGAGTGAATTTTGTGTCGTTTTTGTTGTATAACAAATATATCAGACACACATTTTCTTCAGTAAAGTTCGCCGGAAGGACAAGACATGAAGGGAGTTGTTTGGCTCGTGTTCGTCGTTCTGCCGTGTACTTTAAAGGCCGAAGACAGTAAGTGAAATCATTGTGTGTTATGACGTCGTCACAGTCGAGTTCGACATTTTACAAATACATTACACATCAACCACGAACGTTCATGTTCCTGAAAAATAAATTAGACTTTTAGTGAATCCTTGTTTGCGTTGATTTTAGTTCAGTGGTGCAAAAAAATAGAATTAACCAACAGACGTCAGTTAGATTAGTTTCACTGTTGAGCCGTTGACGTCAATCTAGATAAAGAAATAATAAAGAAAAACCTATCGATGAATGTATGTCTTTATGTTGTTGTATCGATTCATCTGATTATAACTGATACTTAATTTGGCTGGGATTTTTTTCTTTCTTCAAAACATGTTTTGAAGAAGTTTGACAAGCTATTGTTGTTCCGCCACCTGCTGGACATCAATATGTCTCGTTTCGCTACTACTGTAAATGCATGGAAAACACAACATATAAAGATGGAAATTAAAGGTTTTTTTAGATGAGCCCTGACAGCAGACCGTGAACCACCTGTTTGTGTTTTTTCCACAGATGTAACAGTGGCACCTATGGTACAGCTGTACAGCAAGACCATCGGACTGTACAACAAGCCCAACACCCTGATCTGTCACGCGAAAGACTTCTACCCTCCGGAGATTTCCATCGAGTTGCTCAAGAACAACGAGGTGATATCTGAAGCCAAACATTCAGAGATGGCGTTCACAGATAAGTGGTTGTACCGCGTCACCAGGTTCACGGACTTCACCCCAAAGAGTGGAGACAAATACAGCTGCAGAGTGACCCACCAGGGACGGGAGAGGACGCACAAATGGGGTGAGGGTCTCTCTCTAGTTCTTTTCTCACATAAATATATATTTTCAGTTGGGATCACAGTACACAGGTTCCTGCGTCTGTGTATTGTTGTGTATCATTGTGTATTATTGTGTATTACTGTTTCCGAGGTGTGTGCAGCACAGATTATCTCCAGAGAACCGTTGGACTAATGTCTTGACTTTGTTGTGTGAAGTTCATCCTCAGATTATAATCCATGGTTTACGGTGTTTTTACCTCTCAACAGAACCAGATGTTTAAACCCAAGGCGGAGCCCAGGTCCAGGTCCAGGCCGAGGTCCAGGTCCAGCTCAGACGACGTCCTCGTCTCTTCTGTGATCTTCCCTGGATTTAATGAACCGTCAACGTGTAAAAACATTTTAAAACACCCTTTAATTCAGCTGTGTTTTTTGGCTCCAGTTAGAGTAACTTTTTAAAGTAGATGCGAACAGAAGGTTGGGGTTTTTAATTCAAAGTATTTCAGATGATAAATGTCCTGAATAATGATCACAGCATTTGATTCAATGTACAGTAAGGAAAGCAAGTACTTTGCTGTCCACACTGAATGCCAAAGAAATCAAGAAATAAAAATAACAGAATATACACAGGAATAAAATAACAAAATATACACATGAATCAACAGAAGGCTTTTCAGTATTTACAGTGTGCAGTAGTTAATACTTGTGGATGTGCAAATTTGGCATGTGCAAAAGTAATGTTATTGTCCATTCCCGTTAAGTAGTTTGATGGCAGAAGGATGTTTTACATTTCAGACTCCTGTATCTCCGTCCTGAAGGGAGGAGAGTGAACAGTCCATGTTAGGGGTGGGTTGTTGTCCTAGCACCATGTCTCCAGTGTGTCCACCTCCCTCCTGTAAGCTGCTTCGTCACTGCCAGTGATACGACCTATCACTGCAGTGTCGTCTGCAAATTTCAGGATGATGTTGTCCTTGTGGGAGCCCACACAGTCGTGGGTGAACAGGGTGTAGAGGATGGGACTGAGGACACACCCCTGAGGTGTGCCGATGTTGGTGATGATGCTGGCTGAAGTCCTGTTTCCTATCCTGACAGACTGAGGCCTGCCAGTCAGAAAGTCCAAAGTTAAATAAGATAAGCAAATAATAAATTCTACCTTTTTCGAATTGTACAGTTTTAAAATTGAAAGTTGTAACTTAAACCTATTTGATTAAAATACACATGCAACATATTGTATCAGTTGATTTCAGTGAAGGCAGATACCTAACTGTATTATTTCAAAACTGATTGGTTGAACTCAAAATTATTGTTTTGTGGCTGATCTTTTTTTTCCTTTTAACATTGGTATGGTTATTTTGTACACTTTTAGAAATAAAATAATGTTCATGCTTTTACCAAACAAACGATTATTTGCCTGTGGCGCTGAAATCCTAAATGAGTAAACAGAGACTGTCTTCGTTCATGCACACATTTGACCACAGAGAGGCGCTCTTGCACTGCCGAGGCTTTGTCTGAAAAGTTTGCACTAGGAGTAAAGTATATTTTGTGTATTGGGATCGTGGTGGTGAAAAATAAAACGTCTGTGTAAATAATTGTGACGGTTTTTGTGAGAGGAGAACACCTGGTAAGAAAACATAAACATCTTGGCAGCGGTGGGATTCGAACCCACGCCATCGAAATGACTGGAGCCTAAATCCAGCGCCTTAGACCACTCGGCCACGCTACCACGTGGGATTGTATTTGTCACGTGACTACAAATTATTTTATGAAAACACATTTACTACTTCACTAAGTCTTGTGTTTTCTTTGCTTCATCTAAAACTATATGATTACGTTTCATTTTTAAATATGTTCATGTTCATGAACCCAAAGGGTCGTGGGAAAAAAAATCGACATATCTGATAACATAACAGATTTTTTTTTCTAATTCTGACTTATTGACATTGACGTGTTCATTGACGTGCCTAATCAAACGTGAGGACTGACGTCACTGCACAGGCATTCAACATGCGAGGTCGCCCTCTTGTTCTTGATTTCAGAAGTGTTCGTGGTTGGTGGTTGAAAACCCGGTGTAAACATGTCGTAACACAGTGCGTTTCTTAACAAGTTTTAATTTTCAAAATAAGGCTCTCTGGGATTTTTTTTTAAATCTACTCCAGAATTTTCACTTTTCCGCTGGAACATTTGACTTTGGAGACTGTGTTGGAGGAGACCGTGGACCGCGGTCGAGTTGAGTCACGCAGCAGTGACGGGCTGCGAAGGAAGGACGGAGTTTCCGTGTTGAGTAACAGCAGTTCCTCCTCCTGCTGTCACTGTGAGACGCGAAGTCAGTGGGTGAGGACCGATGGACGCTTTTCTCTACGACCTCCCCCCTCTGCTGATGGAGGAGCTCTGCAGGATCCTGGACAGCGGGGGGGACATTCTGGGCTGGCGGGGACTCGGTGAGTTCGGTGTTCGGTGTGTGTGTGTGTGTGTGTGTGTGTAGATGACAGTCATCTCAGGTCAGTACAGTCAGATCCGTTCTTCTGATAGAACTCTTATTGCGGAATCAGTTCTCGGGAGTTTAACCCGCTATTATTTCTATATTATTATTATTATTATTATTATTATTATTATTATTATTATTATTATTATTATTATTATTATTATTATTATTAATATTATTATTATTATCAATCATTTCTTCGGGAAGTTCAAGCTTCAACATTATACGGTTCGGTTCCAAACTTTGTCTGATAAAAACGAGCTTTCAATCCGTTTGATTGTATGAGCCAGTGGTTCCCACAATCTGGGGCGCGTGAGTCTCATCTGTGTTCAGATGTGGCCACAGATGTGGCCCACGTATCTCCAGTGGGTTAGAGCGTGTGGGTTTGTGATCAGCAGCAGCAGCAGCAGCAGCATCATGACGATCAGTGTGTGAACCTGTAAGGATGAGCTCCAACAACAACAACAACAACAACAACAACAAAAACAACAACATGTATGATAATCAGGACTGCCCCCAGGTGTCATCATTTCTTGCTAAACAACCTTTTGACTCAGACTTGACTTCAGCGTGATTTTGAAAACATAACCAAAGACAGATTAGTTTATCAGGTCTAGACTTTCACACCGTGTGTGTTTGACAACATAATAAATATATTTGTAAAAAAGAAATATATACGACTTCTCCTCCAGCTGTCCGCATCGTACCCGACTACTCTGAGGTTCGCCGGTTAGAGCGCCTGGAGGCGGCGGGGCGCAGCCCCAGCAGGGAGCTGCTGTGGTCCTGGGCCCAGCAGAACACCAGGGTGACGGAGCTGCTGACGGTGCTGCAGGACATGGGCCACTACAGGGCGCTGCAGCTCCTCCAGGGCCCCAAGCAGAGTCACTCACCGCTAGGTATCCTGTTTACTTTTACAGTACTACAAAGAACTAGGTTACACAGAAAGTCTACCCAATATACCACACATATATATCTACATATATCCCTATATATGTATGTACTGTATGACTTTATATACATACTGTATATGGCAGTATGTGTTCAGTATATAAATATATCTTCTAGACATATGTTTGTATGTGTTTGATGTGCATATATCATACAATATATATATATGTATATATGTTTCTTACAATATATATATTACATATATTATGTATGTATATATGTTATTGTGGAATAACACAATATAAATTATTGTGTGTATATATGTCATATATATGCAAATGTATATGCATATATATATTAATATACATATATACTGTATACTGTGTATATATTTACAGTCTATGTATACTCTATATGTATACACAGAAACATTTGTATTCCATACACATACATGCATATTTGTATGTAATATATTTTGTAAGATACACATACATAGCATTTTTGTATGAAATATATTTTGTAAGATACACATACATATATGTATGTATGGTATATATATTTACATACACATATATACACATTCCTGTGTGTGTGTATATATGTATGTACATAACAACGTGTACAGATATACACACCTATATACGTACATACACATATATGTGTGTTTGTGTACATAAATATATATATACATATATCAGTTCAGGTTGGACACCTTTGTTCGTCTCAGTCTGGTCTTCGTTCTTCACAGCAGGATCTCAGATTCCTGTGAGTGAGAACGTTCACTTCGTCTTAGCTGCAGGGAAGTAGCTGTTCACGCAGGAAACGTTCAGACCTGTTTTTGTTCCTGTTTGTGGTGAAGTGATGATGTCATCAGCCTGAGTTCTAACTGATTCATTGAACAACACTGAACAATGATGAATTGTTTTGTGTTTTTCCAGAGTTGGCGATGCAGCAACGCCGTCGACAAGTCGAACACGATTGGACGTTCCCGCGGGGTAAAAAATGATTCTGGGAGGAAGTTTCCCTGAGTGTGAGAGAAGTGGTCGGTGTCACGGCTTTGACTCTTTGTTTCTCAGTGACTCAAGTGGTGGAACGTCAGCCGCCCGTCATCACGCTGCGTGACATCATCGAAGGAAGTAAAGATTTTCATCCTGGGATGAAGATCTCAGAGAGCGACTTCGCCACCGTCTACAGAGCACACGTTGGAGATCAAACGTACGCAGTGAAGCTTTTCAAACAGGTAAATACCCAGAGTACACAGTACAGAGTACACAGTACACAGTACAGAGTACACAGTCGTTGTACTGACACCCGTACACACTGTACTGTACCAGTACTGTACCAGTACATGAGAAAACTTCGTTGGACCTTTTTTCTGGGCAGCTTTGTGACCTACAGACGTGGGCGTCCACAGTGTCAGTGGTTTTTGGGGGCGGGGTCCCGACTGTGACGTGTTTGTGTTTGTGTCCTGGTCCAGGTTCAGAGTCTGTCCTGGAAGACGCAGTGGGACGCCTTCCTGCAGGAAATGGAAGTCCACCGCGTGTACGTGCCACTCGTTCACTCGTACCTCGGTCTGCGTTGAATACTGATGTTTAACGAAGTATTTGTTGTCGCGTATTTGCAGGCATCAGCACCCAAACATCTTGCACCCTATTGGCTGTTTCTCTGATGAGGGCAACTACTGTCTCGTGTACCCGTACCTTCCCAACGGATCGCTGTACCACAGGCTACACCAGCAGGTGAACCACACCTTTCATCACAGTTTTTTACTAAAAGTACTGCGTAGTTCCAGTTTTATTTATTCAGTATCATTTTTCTTTGCTCATCAGAGCATGAAAGGCAGAACAATTAAATCATCTACTGCTAGGGGGCAGCAGATGGCTATGAAAACTAACAAACATTATCAGAGCTGTTGAAGAAGATCTTTGTGAGTGTCTTTCTTCAATTCCTGCCATTAAATCAGCGTCGTCTTCAACTAAACAGACTGAGATTTTAGTCAATGATGAGGTCGTTTGAACTGGAAGATTATTAGATTTCATTCCATCGACGTTTTGTTAGATTTTTGTTTGGTGACGTGGGGTCTATCCTGATGATATATATGTGGCTCAAAACATGTTTGGAAACACTGCTGTACATCATGCTATAATATATAAGTCCGGGACACGCCCCCCACTTTGGGACCCACTGAGTAAGTTTAGAACAACCTGGAAAGGAAGTAGAATCAGGAGAAAAAAAAGTATTTATTTTAATTATTTTTACAAAATAATTACTGTTAAAATAAATAAATATAAATGTTAACATCATCACCAAATGTGAACACGTTGTATTATTGTTGAACACGATGTGGTTTGTGTCCATTGTCTGTGAGTGAAGTGTTGTTTGTGCGTTAGATCACAATGTGTAAAATGACAAACAGGAAGTGGAACAGGAAGTGGAACAGGAAGTAGCTGCTGTTACTGGGACCTAAATACAGTACTTATATATAAAAGTACCCTCAAAAAGTATCAGCAGCTAAAGGGAAGGGAATTCATCACTACAGCAAAGTCAAACAACTTCGGCTGAAACAGTACTTGGTTCCAGGTACTTCAGTTTGAAGTAAAACAAATACAGCGACTTCACAGAAATAAAGTTTTATAAAGTACGATACAAAAAACATGCAGTGTTGACACATAGAAGGAACAGAAATGTCGGCGTCATCTGAGCTCAACGTGTGGAAAATATATGTCACTTCACTTTCAGGTTCAAACCTGCCCCTCCTCCCCCTTCACCCCCCTGTCTTTGCCCCAGTTCTGCCGGTGCAGGGTAATAAAAGCATGTGATCGCGGTGTGAGATTGAACTCAGGTGTTTCTGTGCAGGAGGGAAAGTTGTCCTTGTCCTGGGAGCAGCGTCTCATCATCATCAAGGGCGTGGCCAAGGCGTTCATCACCTCCACACCGCCCCGTCCTGCTCCGTCATCTGTGGCAACATCTCCAGGTCTGAGTCAGTGCTGGACCACGGTCCGTCTCTCCTCGTCTGGAGTTCCGGCTGTGGGACAAATCAAGGAGTTCTCATCATGAATATATATATATTTATATTTTAATATACATTTAAAACATATATTTATGTTTAATTCTAGGTTCTGTTTTTCTCAGACAATTTTGTTTTAAATGCGATATTAGCATAATTATGTAATGTCTGTTAGAATTGTTAATAACACAATGCCTGGGTTTCGCCCTAAAATTAACCCATCACCTTAGTGGGCGGCACTTACCTTCCTTAACCACCAGGCCACGACTGCCCCGCTATATTGGTGTCAGTTGATATCGTAATTGGAAATTGAGTGTTTGGGCGATATCGGCGTATTGGATATCGGCAAAAAGTTAATATCCGACATCAGTTTGGTTATTAATGAATAATAATATCAGCGTGAAAACTTGTGGTGTTAACGTTAACGTTCTCGTTTCTGTGGACAGCGCCAACATCCTGCTGGACCACGCCCTGCAGCCCCAGCTGTCCGACTTCGGCCTGGCCCGCCTCCGCCCTAGTTTAGCCTCTCAGTGCTGCACCGACACGGTCAGCAGGGGCTTCTACAGAAACCAGGGGTATCTGCCCGAGGAGTTCATCCGACACCAGCGACTGTCCTTCAGCCTGGACGTCTACAGCTTCGGAATGGTGAGAAGTCAATGAGTTAATCACCTGGTTTAAGGCTGTTAAATCAACCTCCACTAGGGGGCAGTAACTCATCAGGTCAGACTACGGTGGACCTTCACGGCAGGAGATAAGAGTTATACTTTATTTATACTCTTTGTCGTCGTTCTTCCTACTTCCTGTCTGACAGGACAGCAGCTCAGGGTCAAAGTGCAGGAAACCTGGTCTTTTATTGTTGCGTCACTTTTATCTCTGACTGTGGAGGCGGGAAATTCCAGAATTGGCCTCTTTTCATTTTCTGGGAAAAGACTCCTGGGAATTCCGGGAAATCCCAAACACAACAGAAGAAAAACAACTGTAACTGAGTGTCAGGATTGACTTCATCCTGACACACAGTTACAGTAACTTGACCTTTGAACTGGAGCGGTGACATCACATATCTGCTGTTGACACAGGAATTTCCCAAATATGGGATCAATAAAATTCAGATTATTATTAATTATCAATAATATAAATGTATTAACACTACGTTTGATCAGAGTAAAGATCGACCTCGTCGTTATTGATTATTTACTAATGTTGTTGTTTATCTTTTTCTTTCTTTTCTTGAACTGGAGTTGATTTTTCAGTTGATTTTTTTTTTTATTTCGTTCTATAGTTTCCTTAACTGATTCTAACAGGACTTTTTCTGCACTCAGGTCATAATGGAAACAATAACTGGACGACAGGTCATCGAGTATGAGCCCAAACAGCCAGCCCTACTGGTGAGTTTGTGAACTGCATGACGGTTGTATTTAAATATGTTTACATTCACTCGCAGCAGTTTGAGGTTGTTGTTGTTGCTGTTGTTGTTGTTGTTGCTGTTGTTGTTGTTACAGTTTATGCAGCTGTGTTTAAAAAAAATAGAAATATTTGTTGTGAGGATTTGTATTTTTTTAATTAACCACAAAATCCCAAACCTCCTAATTCAATTCCAAGTTTATATTAGTTTATTTCCCACTGTGATTAACCACAAAATCCCAAACTTAGTTTATAAGTTTATATTAGTTTATTTCCCACTGTTTTGATGCTTTTTGTTTTAAACAGCAGATTTGTCTTTACAAATTTATCCAAGTATAGATTGTGCCCCCCAGTGGCCGGGTTAGGAATACAAAAACCAACCAATTCTTATTATTGTAGTTCAAACACAGTAGATTTACGACCTCCACCTTTATAAACGTGTCTTCACTCGTCGTGTTTGTTGTTATAATGACATGTTTGACGAGTGGCGTTAACGATGCTTCGTCAACGTCAGGATGAATAAAAAAATAAAAGCATGTGATGAAAAGATGTGGTGGTGTTGTCCAGAGGGACGTACTGGACGCAGCAGTGGAGCAGAGTGGAGGCAGCCTGGACTCCTGTCTGCAGTTCTTGGACCAGACGGCCGGTCAGTGGCCGACCGCCGTGGCCCTCAGCCTCCTGAGTCTGGCCTTAAAATGCACCGCCAGCCGCCACAACCAGAGGCCCGCCATGGAAGATGTGAGCAACGTTTAACGTCAAACATTTAACATAAAAGCGACTCTGACGCTGCGACGACCGTCTCCGTTCTAACTGGAATCATGAACCCGTTCTCCACTGTGTCCAGGTTCTCCTGTCTCTGAGTCAGCTGCTCCCTTCACCCAGTGGCCCCCCGCCCGATCAACCCCACAGCCTGAACGTCGATCCGACTCCCCCCTCCTTACCCGTGGAGCACGATGAGGAGAGCTCTCTCCCGGGTTTAGTAGCGGAGGACACGCCTCTTGAATGCAGCCAATCAGAGGTGACGTTTCTCAGCAGTGGTGGGGGCACCTACAGTGAGGTGGAACTGGATCTTTACAGCAGCTGCCCGGTACAATGCAGCTGTTCCGGGGAGGAAGGGGGGCTGCCCTGTGAGGACTGCAGGGCTAACACGCTAATATCTGGCACCGCACAGAGTTTTGACGGTAAGGTTTATTTTAATATTCACTTCCTCAGTAGAGAGAGAGAAAAAAGGAACTAATGCAGGTTCTATTTGAAGAGGTCAGGAGTGGTAGAAAAGTATGTGAAGGTGGTGCATTTCATGTACCAATGGGTGTTGGATTTTATCTAGGGTTAGCATCAAGCCTTTTCCTGTTTGAAGGAGTGATGGAAGTGTTGGCAGATATATATACATATATACATATACTGTATATATATATTTTGATATAATATATATTTAAATATTTTTCTTTCTTGTCGTAGCGGACAGAGTGGTGGAAAATGAGGCCAAATGTAAACTGAGGAACAAACTGAGTCTGTACAACCGACAGATGATCGACACGCCGGAGCTTTTCTCTGAAACAGACGGAAATGAATGAACGCACGTTTGTCACATGGTCTTCATCTGCCGTCCATATATGGTCAACAAATACCTGCAGCACAGAGCGTGGCTACCGACGTTCCTGTGAGACAACACTAAACCAGAACCAATCACGCAGGTTCTTAGTGAGCTCGTGGCAGGGATCCACCTGCTGTGGCTCAGTGATCTGTTGGTGATGTCTGTTGTCACATGTGATATTGTTTTATATGTGTTATACTGTATGTCTTCTCAGTACATCTGCCTCACGTTTCACAGACACTCCAAACAGCTTTGACAACTTTTCCCATCGTAACCCTTCAGCAGTTTCCTGTTTCATTTCAAAATTAGACATTTTTTACATTGGCACAAATGCCATCACGGTGGAGTCTGACGATAGCATTAATAATTATGATTCATTTACTTAAATCATTTATCAGGCAAAACAATGAAATACTCTTCCACCAGGTGGCAGCAGATGGCTATAAAAACTAAAAAAAAGAGACTCAGAGCTGATGAAGATCTTTGTCTGTGTCTTTCCTCAATTGCTGTGACTACATCAGTGTTGTGTTCAACTAAACAGGCCCAGGTTTCAGACTAGAGTAAAAGAAATGTGAATTGTACGTTAAAAAAAAAGTGTCGAAAGTTGTGGTTAAGCTTTTATGTGGAAAACAGTTCTCTGGTAAGTACGTCAGTACTACTGTAAAACGTCATGGGAAACATCACAGTATTTCACTGGTACACACTGTGTATATGTATGCTCAAATTGTTCACTAAATATTTTTCTTAACGTTGTAATTTGGTGTTTATTTAATATGTAAATGATCTAAAGCTCAAACTACAAATCACTATCAGTGCGAGTTAGAGCGCCATCTTTCTGTTAGGTATAAACTAACACAATTGTTAGTTCTGGAATGACAGCTTTACACTGCAAACGCCCGGTGTCATAAAGTGGATGTAAATAATGACTTTATTAACATGTATACAGAGAACAAAATAAAAACTTTTTTTTCTGATGCCACGGACTCAATGACGTCACCGACGACCCCCTCCTGTCACCCCTTCACTCGTTCATACTCGAGCCTGCAGTGACTGAAGTCATTCAGAGTCAAACAGCGCCCCCGTGCTGTGATGCCTTCCGCTGGATGAGGCTGACGAACTCGTGTTTCTCCAGGCAGCCGCGACACTCTTCACCCCACGAGGCTAAGATGTTCCTCAGCTCCAACACCCTCAGCTTCTGCAGTGACTCGCTGCTCAGGTCCTTCAGCCGAGGCTCTGTGTGCAGGAAACGCAACACAAATCTCTCAGACATTCAGACATTTGGTCGTTGTTGTTGTTGTTGTTGTTGTTACCGTATCTGAGCTGACAGATCTGAGTGTCTCTGCTGCTGAGCCGCTGACAGATCTTCTCCACGGGGACGTGGGAGGCCAGCGGTCTGGACACGGAGGCTGTGACCCGTGTTGCTGCGTCACTGCTGGCTCCCAGGTAGTAGCACTAGGACACCAGAATGTACTGTGAGTTTTTCTGTTGTTTACACCTGACTCTCTGAACAGAAAGAGACACGGAATCGAACGTCTCCTCACCAGCCGGGCCTCTTTGCCCTGGGCCACCGTGCAGCTCCGCTCCAGCTCCTCCTCCACCAGGGCAGGGGTCAGATCAGTGTGGGCCACGTTCAGGCTGTCGTACAGCCTACGGAGAAAACTCTCACACACTGTGGAGTCACACCACGTCACAGATCAGTAGCAAAGACAGGACGGACTTTTCTTTGGACCGAAAATAAATAAAAAGTGTTACATTTAATCTACCAGAATAATAACTGAAATTTAATTAAATAACTTATTAAATTATTATGTTGAAATTTTTCATTTAAAACCTAAATCACCAAGAGTTTGAAAAGATTAAGACACAGAATAAAAAAGGGAAGTGGCTCTCATATTTCCGGAAGTGACGTACATATAACATAAAAGCGGCTCGAGGTACTTATAGCATTATAGCGTTTACAACCAATAAAAAGTATGTACTTTTTTCATGTTCCAGGCCTTTATTTTAAATACAGTAGTGAATATATATAAATGTGAAAGGACCGTGTAGTTTATGACACAGTCATAAATGTACAGCGTGTACCGCGCAGCAGTGACTGCTTCACATTAGTGTAATATTACAGTGTAGTTTAACACAACACGACTGTAACACAGCCCCTGGTCACACACCATGCTCTCTAACCTTCACAGTCGCCAGAGGAAGACAAATCAATCGCTCTGAAAAACAGCAGAATCACGAGAGGCAACGCCGACATGATGGCGTTTGTGGTTTATTATTAGCTACTGGAGTCCCAGCCAAAAAAACAAAAAACAAAAACGGAGTCAGCTGTGGACCAGGGGTCATTGCCGTGCTGCAACTACACAATTTCTCCAGCAGGGAGCATTGCGGCAGTCTTTAGTGGACCTTATCTAATGTTAATTGTTTCATATCCATAGTGATAAAACTTAAGACATTCACAGTTTTGATAATAAATCTCTAATTAATTGACGTCTATATATAGATGCCCCAGTTCGTCTGTTTGCCGGTTTAAAAGTCCTTAACGGATGAAAAACGTTAAAAGACTTATTTGGTCTTGACCCATGTCTGCACTACGGCGTGGAGGCTTTTATTTTAAAAGAGCTTTGAAGGAAACGGAAACGGATAGGGATAGCGGCGCGCAGCTTCCGGTTCTCAGCGTTTCAGCATGGCTGCCATAGGAGTTCACTTTGGATATACATGCGCCTGTGTGGCCGTGTTTAAGGTAATTAAAACAACGGCTGTTTATTTATGTCGCGTTTTATATAACTTTATATAATTTTGACAATAACCGCTGTTTGTTACTGGTGTTGAGTTCATGTGTGGACGTTAAAAATGTGATTATCTGGTCACAAGTTCAACTTCAGACGCCAAGACATGAAGATTGAATGAATCGTTGGCAAAAACATTAGCAACGGTTTGTAGCTAATGTCATATTAAACCTAAACCTGTCGAAGATTATTGAGGTCGTGGATGTAAAAAAAAGAAAAAAGAATTATTTAATGTCTGTTACGGACATTACAAAATACTTGTCATGTCGTGGTCCTGAACTGTGGTGATAGAAACGAATTCCCTAATGTTTTTGTATCCATGAACATTCAAAACATAATTAGGAATTATATAATGATAAAATGAAATGTTTACATGTGTCTGTCTGTGTGTGTCCAGGACGGGCGGGCTGACGTGGTGGCCAATGATGCAGGAGACAGGGTAACTCCAGCTGTGGTTGGATACAGAGACACAGAGCAGGTAAGGACAACTTCATTATATTTCCAAATAATGAAGTTGTCCCTGGATTGTTATATAAAGTTCCATAAATGTGTCGAGCAGGTAAAACTTCATCTTTTGCGTCAAATTTAAGTTAATTTGGATCATTTGTCATTCCCAAATAATGAAGTTGTCCCTGCATTGTTATATAAAGTTCCATAAATGTGTATATTATGTTCAATATTGTCCAATCTCTTTCACAGTAGTGAAATGTAGAAATGATGCAGATTGTGTTCATAGATGTTTGTCGTCGTCTACAGATTGTGGGAATTGCAGCAAAACAGGGACGAGTACGGAACGCTGCCAACACGGTGGTCCGAGTGAAACAAGTGCTGGGCAGAAGGTGACACGTTGTCTCTGCATTCAAGTCCACTGTGATGAATAGTCAGATTAATGATATTATTAAAAACATGTCATCTGTAAACAGGACTTGTAAACAGGACTTGTGACGAGTCGTTCCACAGGTGTGTTCTCTCTGTGACTCACTCTCTCTTCTTCCACATCAGCTTTGATGATCCAGAGACTCAGAACCATAAATCAGAGACCAAGTGTGAGGTGAGGTGAACTCGTCTGTCCTCTGTGGGTCAGCTGACAGCTTTGACTCACAAAATAAAAGCATGAATCCACGTTTGTTGGATTTAGGTTTTAACTTTAAACGTTGGTTTCCGGTTGTTGTCCTCAGTTGGTGAACAGAGGCGGAAAAGCTTATTATGAGATTACAGCGGGAGAACAGTCGCAGTATGTTTCACCAGAGGAGGTCGCCAAACTCATCTTTTGTAAAATGAAAGGTAGAGTTCCTGGTTAAACCACTTCAGCTCTGATGTCGTGTCAGTAGAATGACCTGTGATTGACTGGTGTCTCCACTGTTGACAGAAACGGCTCAGTCAGCGCTGGGTTCTGATGTCAACGAGGCCGTCATCACGGTTCCATTTGAGTTTGCACAGACGCAGAAACGAGCTTTAAGGTGGGCCGCCGTACACTGTCCAGCCCACTGGGATCCAGCCCACTGTTTGGACAGAAGATGACATGAACCTGTGTGTGTGTTTTGCAGGGAGGCAGCTGAAGCAGCAGGACTCCAGGTGCTGCGGTTGATCCACGAGCCCGTGGCTGCTCTGTTAGCATACAACATCGAACAGGACTGTCCCGCTGGAAAGAGGTATTCAGGGTTCACATAAAACATCACATAATATATTCTGATGTCTTTGATAGAAAAAAAATCAATTTTTACTCACTACAGACTGAAGCCGTCATTTGAAGCTGTTTTTATGTAAAAATATTTCACTGTCTTCACACTGTGCCCGTCTGCTCTGTGGCTGCAGCCACGTTGTGGTGTATAAATTAGGTGGAACCTCCCTCAGCGTGACGGTGCTCCAGGTCACCGGGGGAATGTTCCGTGTTCTAAACACACACACTGACCACAACATCGGAGGAGAGAACTTCACCCAGGCCTTGGCCCAGCACCTGGCTGCCGAGTTTAAACGGTAACTGTGACGTCGGTGGACACGTCTACAGTCGCCTTGTGGTCGGTGGCTAACGCCAACGTAGCACATTATCAGAGCCAATTAACACAGTGTGTGTGTGTTTCTCTTTAGAACCTTCAAACATGATGTCAGTGGCAACGCCCGCGCCATGATGAAGCTGATGAACGGAGCCGACATGGCCAAACACTCACTGTCCTCACTGGGCTCAGCCAACTGTTTTGTGGACTCCTTGTACGACGGCATCGACTTTGAATGCAACGTCTCCAGGTGAGATCACTGTAGGTGTGTGTTTGTGTGTGTGTTGCCAAGAACCATGTTTGTTGCCGTCTATCGTGTTCCATTACAATAACATTTCCAGTAACGAGTCGTTACCAGTCTGACCAGTCGTTGTTTTGTTTTCCTTAGAGCTCGATTTGAGCTGCTCTGCTCATCACTTTTCAACAAAAGCATTCAGCCAATCAAAAACCTGCTGGAGAAGGTGAACCTCTCAACCAGTGACATCAACAAGGTACCGTATAGAACTGTCCTAACTGTAAAAAAGTAACAAGTTATCACAAAGTTAGAAACATATTTATTTTTTGTTGTTAAAATAAATCTCAAGTATTCAAAATAAATAATCACATAAATGTTTATCAGTATCCAGTAAACATTTCATGTTCACCAGGTTTAATTAAATATTTATTTTTAGAATAATTGAAATCATTGTTGATGAAGACTTTGTCCTCCTCAAAATAATTGAAATTGTTGATGAAGACTTTGTCCTCCTCAGGTTATCCTCAGCGGAGGGTCGGCAAGAATCCCCCGACTCCAACAAATGATCCGTGACTTGTTTTCTGACGTGGAGCTTCTCAGCTCAGCGCCTACTGATGAGGTCATCGCCGTGGGCGCCGCCCTGCAGGCGGGGTTACTGGTCAACAAAGAAAACCTTGCCCCTGAGGAGGAGTCGATCACAGTGGACTTTTCTGCTGCGGACATTCTGGTGAAGGTAGGCAGACATCGGGGTCCACACGTTGTCTTCAGGGTCTTTTAGTCTTTTCATCATCACTGGTCACATCTGGTCTAACGTCTTAATTTTAGCATCCGATAATATCTGTCCGAGATTAGCATATTAAGGAATACCTGTTAGAATCGTTATCGTTTATTCATCCAATAATTAAAACCCGATAACGTAGTGCCTGCGTTTCGTCAAATGATTTGTGCACTAAAAATTGTTTTGGGGAAAAACAGCAGTATATTAAAGTGAAAGTCACTAGATGGCAGCATTGCAGTTTATTTAATTAATGTAATTCATACAGTGATTTTTACAGATAAATAAATACATATTTCCAGGCCTATATCGGTATCAGTTGATATCGGAATCAAAATTAAGTGCCTGGACAATATCGGCAAAAAGTTAATATCGGACATTCGTCTTAATGTCTTTTGTCTTTCCTCCTTGTTGTTTGGTTGATGCAGGAAGTGGACGAATCTGGAACAGAAATGTTCACTGTGGTGCTTCCGTCTGGCACGCCTCTTCCTGCCCGCAAACACCACACCCTGAGGGGGGGTGGGAAACTGACCTCTCTCTGTGTGGAGGTTTACCAGCGGTTCGTCACAAAGCAGCCAGAGAGGTTAGCTAAGGTGAGAAAGAATCAGAGCGCCGCCTCAAATCTGGAAACAAATGTCAGGATTTGACCTGACGATGTGTCCGTGTCATGTGCAGATTATCTTGAGGGACCTGCAGTCCAGAGAGGAGGACCACGAGGTGGACACCATGGTGACCATGAAAAGGTAACATCATCAGTTCTTCACCCACAGTCACTGTAGGGTTTTTTTTTAGTTTCATAAATAATAATGTAAAGATGCAGATTTCTGACACACAACATGTCAGACAAACATTTATTTTAGGCCCACATCTAGAGTGGCTGCCACTCTCACCTCACAGCAAGGAGACCCAACAGTTTGCTGGTTCAATTTCCTTTCTTCTCCCTCTGTGTGTGCCTTGCAAAACATACAGGATAAGGTTCAATGTTTCCCCTTAATTTACCAGAGGTGTGAATGTGAATTACATTCACGTTTTTGTCAAACACTTAAAGAAAAGACTTGATAGTACAATCATGAAATACTGTAGTATAACTATGAGATACCTGAGAAACCTCTGACTTATTCTCGTCCTCTTTACGTCACAGGGATGGCTCTGTTCATGTTTCCTGCACAGAACGGTGCAGTGGAAGGTCAGAGGTCGTCACCATAGCAGCGGCAGCAGCAGCGTCATAAAAGCCCCTGATCTGCAGTCTGAAAACACAGTTTACAGTGTCGGTGCAATGTATTCGTTTCTGTTTTTCACTAAATAAACGTAAATAATTTCACTCTCAGATGAGTTGGATCTTGTCAATAAAACAGAATATATTAAAAAATAGTTCTATCACGTATTCCGACGGAAAAAAAATCCTGGTCTGTGGAAAAATATTCTGGTGTGAAACTTGGCCGTGGCACAAAAATGTCTTGTTTTTATTATTATTATTTATTTCATTTTTATGTAATAAAGTGTTCAACCCTTTGGCCCAAGCAAAGTTAGGTTAACATGCTAGTATATGCTTTGAAATTTGCTTTTTTTATTCGATCAAAAACATTTTACAAAGTAAACAACATAACGTTGAAACATGTATCGTGCTGTAGCACTCTTTGGGTCGAGGGTCACAGTCTGTTCAGTCTTTAACATTTGTGCTCTGGGAAAACGCGGCACTTGAGGATCTTCAGGTAGTTCTGGATCTTGTTGGAGTCTCGACGGAAACAGAAGAGGAGGTCGTAGTCTCTCATTGAATCAGAAGGGAATGTGGTTTCAGGAGACGCCTGGCTGTCAATGGAGTCACTCAGAATTCCCAGGAGCTGCATCTGGAGGGGAGGAGTCACAGGAGCAAACGTCAGAAAAACTTTTGTTTAGTCATAGTTACTACTGTTTAGGACAAAACACACACAAAAATCTACTCATTCCTAATGCATTTGGAACTTTATCATGCTATTCTTTCAAAATAAAAGCCTACCATTGCTGTGTAAAAAAAGGATATCCTTTAAAGTGACAGTTTGTTCTAACTTGACTATGGTAGAAATTGTGGTTTACTGAACAAAAATCAGTTAATATAGGAATTTCACAGTGACTTTTTAAAATATAAAATGTTGACCTAGTTGCTTAAATGTTGCCTATTGTCGTTTCTCACATCGTCACTGTCAGTGAATATGAACAGTAGGTCGTCCGAGCGTGATCAGTTCAGTTCAGTGTCGGCTTTGGTCGTGTGACGTCAAGACTTGACATTTCCGAGTCTTCACCCTGTTCTTTGGTTACCCATCCAGACAAGACACTCAAGCACCACCAAACCCAATTTGACCTGCTGGCTACACGTGGCATTACAACAGCGACGTCTGACTTGGACTGAAAAAAACACAGGTTACCTTCTCGGCCACTCTCTCCACACCGTTGTGCAGCTGGTGTACCATGTGACTCAGCTCCAGAGCTCTGTCTGAGCTGAAGTCGTTGAGGTCACGGTGCTGAGCCACGCTCTGGTGGAAACGCCACAGAGGGTCCTTCCAGGCCACCAGGAGGCGCAGGATCACCTCCGTCAACTCCTCTCTCTGTGGACAAAGATGCGTGGACACCTGACATGAGTCGTGACATGTTGTTGTTATTTCAATCAGACAGAGTTTGTGTGGAGAATGGACAAGTTAATGTACCGCCATTTGTTGAGCGTTTTCCTTGCCGTTTGGGGTGAGAATGGTGGAAGTGTGACAGTTGCGTCCGACTCTGTCAATTTGATTCCTACTGCGCAGGAAGTAGTGTTCCTAGGAGGACAAACATGGACGCAAGAAGGAAATGTCAAAGGTTAGCTGTTGGCTAAATGTCAAACGACTCGTGAGAAAAAAGGTTACTAAAAAATAGAGGATGAGTCACAGATTAGAAAAAAACCCATCACTTTAACATCGATATTTAGCCACAGCCCTAAAGCTACAGCAATGGCAGCAGCAATGTTTAAATATCCTCATAACAACATTAGTCAACATTTTCACTCATTTATTTTAATACTTTCACATTTCAGACACTTTTCAAGCCCAGTTTTTACAGGAGAAATCTTACAAAGTCCGAGTGGAGGTCGTTGGAAATGCTGTGCACCCTGGCCGAGTGCTGGACGACTCGGTCAAACAAGTTGTCCAGGTACAAGGTGTGACACCCAGGTTGGTCATTGGTGCAGAAAGGTGCCGCATTAGTGATGGTCAGAGTCCAGCACAGAACCAGAACAAGCAGCCCGAGCCACACAGCACACCCTAGAGGAGAGAGAGAGAATTAGAAAAAAAACGATATACATATATATATATATATATATATATATGTGTGTGTATATATATATGTATAGCTGTCTTACCTGATTGGATGTTTCCAGTCATACTGCAGCAAATGAACAAGCGTCTCTCCATTCAAAGACCCCAGCAGCATTAAAGTGAGGATCCTTCACTCACTGTTTTATTGTAGGTAAGAGGGAGGGAACAAGAGACAGAGAGGGGAGTGTGTCGCTGTCACTGTTTGACAAGTCATTATGTTATATTTTATTATATTGAGTTATATATTCTATTATATTGAGTTATATATTCTATTATATTGAGTTGTATATTCTATTATA